AGTTACTTTGTCTAGCCCACATTTTACCAACTTGCTTGCAAGAATGCTTGCAGTTATTCCACACCTCCCAATGATTTTAATCTGTATGATGGGCAAACCCAGTTTTCGTGTTATGGGGAGTAGGTGTAGGGATTCCAGCTTTTATTCCACCACATTGCCACTAAATGTAGGGCTTCCAACCATCTATATGAAAGTTCCACCCTTTATCCTTCTGCTGTGGTTATTAAATGTGGGCATTTCCCAACCCTTATCCCATCTACTGTAGGGTTCACACTTGCGCTATCCAACTAATGCCGCCAACTGTGCTGAAATGTGGGGTTTCTTCCTTTTCACCCATTAGTTGTGAAGACTTCAGAGTACTCACTGCAGTCACTAAGAATGAAGGCTTTCCTTGATCCTGGATCTATGACACCAACTTAGGGGCCATCTAAATGCCCTCAAAGTACCTATGAAGGTTTATTCAACTTGACCCCTGAATGCACATCACCCCTCTATATATGCTAGCACAGAACCTTGTCTGATTCCCAGCTACAAAATAGTGTATGCCCAAGGCCAAAAATGCATAAAAATAAAAACAAAAATTGTTTACCAAAGTTAAACATATCGAAACAGATTATTTATTACATTTAAAACATTGCAATCTCTTTGTCACACTCTTCCTCTCAAGCTAACATAGGCCCAAAACACACTGCAGAAATAATCCAGATTGAGACAGATTTAACTGCCCTGGCTCAGTGCTAGGAAATTCTGGAAAGTGAGTTCTACCCCAGTCATAGAATCATAGAGTTGGAAGAGACCACAAGGGCCATCCAATCCAATCCCCTGCCATGCAGGAACTCAAAATCAAAGCATCCCTGACAGATTCTATTATTTCAATGTACAGTATGCAATTTGCAAAGACAAGGCAAAGATGGGCATGCTATCTGCAGAACTATGTTTCTGCGGCTATCAGCAGGATACATTTATTGTGTGATGGGTGACTTTTTGGCCCCACATGTGTAGTGTGACTTGTGCATGTGTATGCCTCTAACAGAAATCCATCCATAATGTGGCAAACTGGTATGCAAGCCAAGGCAAGCTAGTTCTAGCTGAAACACTGGTCATAGGAGTCTCTCCCTGGCAGCCTCAAAGAGCTTTGCTGTACTCAAGTTTTCCCCATGGAAAGGAAGCCTTTATGCAGGGAATCTAGCTCTGACAATTTTGGTCAGGAATCCCATAACATCAGAGGCCTAGCTACATTCCTTGAGGTCCTCTGGCCCACTTGTGGTTGATGGGGAAGAAATCAGCTTCCCCCAAAAAAGTTTTTCTGCCTCTTGTCTTATGATGATTCCCTTTAAGATGTTCAGGGATCTCCATTGGAGGAGGAGGAAGTATAGTGGCAATTATTCATCTCCTCTGTATGCTCACACAGCACTTTGATTTCACCATTAACTTTGGTGGGATGTGGCTCAGACCCACTAATCTATGTCCTCAACTTTTCTATAATAAAGGCTTTTCTAAAATTAATCACAAAGCACTGAGTAGCAAGCCCTCTCTATGCTTCAATGAAGTTTAATTAATGCACTTCATATGCCTACTGGGCTGACCCAAGGGCATGTTCGGGACTCTAATTAATGGCAGGTTGTACATAACCCCTCTAGGTACCTTATGCTCTCTTTAGAGTGTTAAACAAAAGCATACTATTTTAAATCCTTGCACTGCAATCTTTGTTCCAGGAGTAGCCAAAGCAAGCAAGCTTGTCTTTGGGTGACATCTTCTGGATGAAGTTGTTGCTGTATTGAAAACTCAGTACGGACTGTATTTGAGAGTTCAGTTGCTTGACTTTTGTTGTTGTTCGGCCTTCAAGTCTGAAATATGGTGACTCTAAGGCGAACCTATTTTAGGGGTTTGTATGTGTGCAAGATTTATTCAGAGGGGGTTTGCCTTTGCCTTCCTCTGAGGCTAAGTGTGTGATTTGCCTAAGGTTTCGATGACTGAGTGGGGATTTGAACCCGAGTCTCCAAAGTCGTAGTCCAATGCTCAAACCACTACACCATTCTGTCTCTTGGTTTGACTTTTATTTGTGGGGAAAAGTGTATAACAGAGTGGATTCTCTATAGCTGCTATTTGGTATCTGTTGGAGGCTTTGGTATACTTGGGGGGGGGGTTACAGAAATAGTGCAAATTGAGTCCACTTTTAGGGTTAGGGTTAGTGCTAGGGAATGATGGGAATTGTTTTTTTCCCGAGACATTGAGCCTTCTCTGTCAGAGAGCTTTGGTGCCACAATAAAATACAGTTCCCATGATTCCCTAACCCTAAAAGTGGACTCAATTTGCACTATTTCTGGCAGTCTGCAACCCCCCCTTAGTTCAGAAAACTAAATCATCATATACAAATTGTCCTCTAAACTGTACAGTCAGTGCTCCACCTATTTCAACAACATTCACATCAGGACTGGACTATATGTGGTCCTCACGTAGTTCCTAACTGCAATTGTTCTCATCCCTTACCGATGGCGATGCTAATTAGGGATGATGGATGCTGCAGTCGGGAAATATCTGGAAGGCAGCAAGGCTTTCACTGCTGTCTTACAAACCTTTCGAGAAGCTAAGCCAATTCTATTGGCAGAGGCTGAGACAGGGATTTTCCAAGGCAATCCTGCAAAGTCCATAATTGTGACAATATTTGAGTCTCACAGTTCAAGAAGACATGATGTTAGATGTGCCTTTGTGTTCAGTGTGCATGGGCTTTTAAAAATAAATAAATGCAAGTACCAGCCGCTGGGACAAACAGGTTTATGTTAGGACTGCACCCGGTGGAAAAGGGAAGGTTCATTCTTTCCTCCCCAGCTTTGCCCCATAATCGAAATGGCTCCTTGAAGGTTGTCATTTGTATTCAGAGGAAATCTCCTCTTGGTGGCAATGAGATCTTTCTCAGGAATGCAAAGAGCGACTTTGGAGGGCGTTTTTAGGAGGATCACATAAGGAAAAGAAAGAGCAAAATTCCCCTCCCCATCTGCTGCTGTGTAACCCTATTTTTGTTCTTGATCCTGGCGTTACAAGACTAACACACCCTGCCCATGATTTCCCTTAAGAACCTATGATCCCTAGCAGCCTTGTTGGATCAAACGAAAGATCTATCTAATCTAGCATTCCAGGGTTTGTGGGAAACTGACACACAGGAATGGTGCCCTCTTACTCCTCTTTGCCAACGACTGATTTGTTTTTGTTGTTAACTGCCCTCAAATCAACCACAACTCATGATAACCCTGTGTATGTATGAGGCATCCTCAAGACCCCCCGTCCTCCACTGCTCTGTTAAGGTCCTGTAAATTCAGGCCTTTCCCTCCTTTATTGAGTCTATTCATCTGGCATGCAATCTTTCTCTCTTTCTGCTGCCTTCTACTTTCCATAGCATTATTCTCTGTTCTAATGAGTCGTGGTTTCTCATGATGTGGCCAATGTATGACAGCCTCAGTTTCATAGAGAGACATTCTGCCTTTGATACTGGAGATAATACTCGAGTCATCAAGCTTAGTGGCCACGATAACTTTATACTCCACAATTTCTCCTCTTAAGTTCTTTTTAATGCTTTGTCGCTGCCACTTGTGGTATCAAATTCCATTCCGGGAAGAACTATTTCATTGACTGCATTCCCATCGAGAATACTAAGAGGCATTTAGATAGCAAGAAATAAGTGTATCAGGGCTTAATTACCACCTTTTTACACAGTTAGAATTGATTATGCCTGTCTTTATGAGAGAGAGATCCAGTTTTCTCCAACGATGCTCCCCTACTAATAAATGGATGTCAAATAGCTGAAGGACAAGTATAATCTGCTGAAATCTATGTATTTGTCTCATCTTCGTTGTGCTCTGTACCCAACTTAAGAAAGGTGAGATGTGACTATAAAGTGTCTCAGAAAGAGCAATGTTTTATGAGAAACATTTCTATTTTACAGGGATACCTCTATTAACGTAGGCTGCACCTGCACTGCAGAATTAATAGGTTGACACTGCTTTTCTGCCATGGCTCAATGCTATGGAATTCTGTGATTTGTAGTTTGTTCTGGCACCAGAGCTCTCTGACTGATAAGGCTAAATATCTCACAAGACGACATAGCCTATGGCAAATAAAGTGGTGTCAAACTAGATTATTTCTGTTGTGTGGATAGAGCCAAAGTAGATCGATTCCTGAGCATCAGGGATTTTCTTTAACAGAAAAATTGGTACCAAAGGAAGAACTCAAATAGAAAGAATAGGGAGAGGTTCCTACACCACCACCCCAAGAAAAAGAACAGCTTAACATGTTTCAATGAACTTTTTTATTCAATACTAATATGACCATGTGAAATGAACATGTGAAACAGGTTAGAAAAACCTTACATAAGCAAAGAAAACATTTCAGACTTTCCCAAAGCCATATGAAGGTGTCCTTCAAAACGCATCCAGGGATGACTTTTCGTTTAGTAGTTTCCACTTATCTTAGCCAAATTGGTCAAATTTTCAGGACGACAACATTTTGGATGTAGCTGGAGAGGCTGGCTTACCTGCTCCCCGTTTTTCTCCTTGTTTTGCTGTTCATGTATGCTCAAGCATTGCATTTTGGAGGCAACTGCTATTTATCTTGCTTAGTGTAAGCACACGTAGCTACAGTAGGATCAGAATCCTATTTTCACAACTCAAGTTTTATTGTGTTGATTGCTACAGAAATATTGCTCCAGCCCAGCACCCATTAAAGCGTGTTTTTCCAGCCCCTTGCACCATCCTCTCAATGCTGATGCTGCTTAAAAACATCAGCTAGACAGATGAAGAAAGGGGCTGGGTAGGTATAAAAAGGGTTTGTAAAAAAAGGCCTTTTTCCCCCAGAGGCATTATCAACTGTATTTTCTTTCCATTGAGAAATGATGCGATAGTGGTGGCACACTTTCTCATTCCCTAAGACAGGTCTAACAAATTATTCCTTACTTTTCAACTATATAAAACATTTTGGTCAGGATTTGAAACCTCCACTGGCCTGCCCTCTCTTCCTCAGTGGTTTTATTGTTTTAATTTTTACTGAGTTTTCTTAATTTTGTTCTTATGAGCCATTTAAAACTGTGGACTACTTTGAGCAATTTTAACAGAGAAACTGTTTAGAAGTTCCAAGAATATGTAAATAGGCCAGAATTCACATCATTGTGTAAAACACATTTAATCCCATTGAGGACTCTGGCCCTAAATTCACAACTCCACAATTGATTGTAGCTATAACTTTTGAAGTAATGACAGTCAAGTGGAGGAGCAATGTTTTCAGAATTTTCTTGATCTAAGTGAACATATAATGATTACATATGTGAACATATAGTGATTATACATATAGGAGTTAAAGGCTCCTGTGAGTACTCCAGCTGCAAAAATAGCTACTCATATCAACTCTGTATGATTGACTGCTCTGTTCTTGCTTCTGCATTACTGAATGATTGGATCATTCAATCATTTTTGATATGAAAGGTACAACAGAATCCCTTACTCTCAGATGATGTATTTCCTAATAAGAAATGGATACTGCTTGGTTTGCCTTTGCAGTGGGTGCATTTCATAAGACAAGGGTGTAAAAACCTACTATCTCAACCTGTACTGTTGATGTATAAATAAATAAAAAAGTGTTAAGTCATTAATATACAATGAAAAGTGACACAGACATTATACAACATGGGAAAAGAGTGGTTTCACACAATCACTTCTGTCCTTGACAAGGTAAACTACTTGCAACTTTACCTTGGTGGCGCAGTGGTTAAATGCCTATACTGCAGCCACTCACTCCTAGACCACAAGGTTGCGAGTTCAATACTAGCCAGGGCTCAGGCTAGACTCAGGCCTGTATCCTTCCGAGTCGCTAAAATGAGTACCCAACTGTTGGGGGGCAATGAGCTTACAGTTGTAAACTGCTTAGACATCCCATAGAGAGATATGAAGCAGTATATAAATGAAGCTGCTTTGCTTTGCTTTGCTTTTGTGACCTGGGTAAAATGCACAGCTACTGTAGTTGTCTGATTTCCAAACCCCCGCCCCACCCAAGCATCCCACCCAAAGGCACCAAAGTACTGTCTAAGCCAAAAGCATTGTGAATCTACTTCAATTACATGATCCAGCAATTTGCTAAGGTGACTCGAAAGGCGGACAGTCCTCCTACAAGGCAACTCCTACTTTGGCAACAGCTCCGTGTAGATTTGGGAAACCAGCCCAGGCACCATCCTGACTTGTATGTTTCATGTCCTCTTCTGTTTCAGCACCTAAACAGTCACCATAATGAGTTTTTCATAGGTTTCACAACATTCAGCACAATGACCCAATATTTTTAACATGAAGCAACAAAGAAAATGTTTAGATTTTATAACAAAATTTATTTTTGTTCTGTAGATATAAATCCAAACATCAAACAAACAGAGTGGAAAAATACTAGTAATTAACAATCAAATCTTTATCATTTAATAAATAGAACTTTGGCATTCAAAATTCTAGCTGTAAACGCTACTTTAAAAAAAAGTTACAAAAAGAGGCAAGAATGACAGGCCTGAAGAAAAGAGCCAGCCAGTGGCCCTTTACAATTAAAACTTAAAAAAACAAACACAATAACAACACTGAATGCATTTCGATTAAGTCATGACAACTTTATGTACACATGAGGTATTCTGAGTGGTTCAGAAACTGAACCCAGTTTTGAAAAACTACCAGTCTTAGACTGATCCAGTACATGCTTACTGTGCTTTTTAATTCTAGCCCCCCAACTTTCCCTTGTTTTTGCCACTGATTATCATATACCTAATATATACAAAATTAATACATTCTGATTGAACTTCCTGCATCTTCCACATATACAGAAAATCTGGTAAAGAAAGATCAGACTACCTTTCGAAAGTTTAACCCACAATATTTAGAAAATATTTCTATTTATGAAAGTTGCTTCTCACAGGCCTACCAGCTAAAAACATCTCTAAGCAGAGGGAACAAAGTGCAACAACTTGAGATACTCTCATGGCTTTTAAAAACAAGAGATTATTATTTGAGCCATAAGCAAAAAT